CAGCCACGTTATATAGTTTTCAGTGTACATATCTTTCATCGACTTGTTTAAATTTATTCCTAAGTGTTTTATTCTTTTTGATGCAGTTGTAAATAGGATTCTTTTCTTAATTTTTTTTTGGATAGTTCATTGTTGATGCATAGAAAAACAACTGATTTTTGGTTTTGGTTTTGTATCCTGCAACTTTATTGAATTTGTTTATTACTTCTAATAGTTTTTTGGTGGAGTCTTTAGTGTTTTCTATGTATAAGATCTGTCATCTGCAAACAGACAATTTTACTTCTTCCTTTCCAATTTGGATGCTGTTTATTTCTCTTTCTTGCCTAATTGCTCTGGCTAGAACTTCTTGTACTATGTTGAATAAAAGTGGTGAGAGGACACATCCTTGTCTTGTTCCTGATCTTAGATGAACAGCTTTGAGGTTTTTAATGTTGAGTTTGATGGTAGCTGTGGACTTGTCATATATAGCTTTTGTTATGTTGAGGTACTTTCCTTCTGTACCTAGTTTGTTGAGAGTTTTTATCATGAATGGATGTTGAATTTTATTATATGCTCCTTCTGCATCTCTTGAAATGATCGTATGATTTTTATTCTTCGTTCTGTTAATGTGATGTGTCATGTTTATTTATTTGCATATATGAACCATCCTTGCATCCTAGTCGTAAATTCTACTTGATTGTGGGGTATATATGATGTTGAATATAAACTTCCTTGTTAGAACTTCTTTTGCTGCATCCCATAAATTTTGATAATTTGTGTTTCTAGTTTTATTTGTCTCAAGATGTTTTTTTCTTTCTGTTTGATTTCTTTGACTTTTTGGTTGTTCAGGACTATGTTGTTTAATTTCCACTTATTTGTGAATTTTCCAATTTTCTGCATGTTATTCTAGGTTTATACCATTGTAGTTGTAGAAGATATTTTGTATCATTTCAGTCCTCTTAGATTGTTAAGACTTGTTTGGTGGCCTAACATTTGATCTTTCCTGGAGAATGTTTTTCATGCGCTTGAGAAGAATGTGTATTTTGCTGCTGTTGGATGGAATGTCCTATATTTGTCTGTTAGGTCCATTTGGTCTATAGTGTTGGTCAAGTCTGATGTTTCCTTACTGATTTTTCTGTCTGAATGATTTATCCCTATTTGAATATGGGTTATTGAAGTCTTGCATTATTATTATATTGTTGTCTGTTTCTGCTTTCAGTTATGTTAACATTTCCTTTATATATGCGAGTGCTTTGGTACTGTATGCATATATGTTTATGATTTTTATATCCTATTGATATATTGACCCCTTTATTATTATATAATGACATCGTTGTCTCTTGAGACTGATTTTGACTTAAAGCTTATTTTGTCTGATATAAGGATAGCCACTCCTGCTCTTCTTTGGTTACCATTTGCATGGAATATCCTTTTCCATCCTTTCACTTTCAGACTGTATGTGTCTGTAAACGTAAAATGAGGCTTTTGTAGGCAGCATATAGTTGGATCTTATTTTTTATCTGTTTAGCCACTTTTTCTGATTGTTGAATTTAATCCATTTACATTTAATTATTGATAGGTAAGGACTTACTATTGTCATTTTTTTCAGTTGTTTTCTGATTGTTTTGTGGTTTCTTTGTTCCTTTCTTCCTATCTTGCTGTCTTCCTTTGTGATTTAATGATCTTTTGTAGTGGTATGCTTTGATTATTTTCTGTTTATCTTTTGTGTATCTACTATAGGTTTTTCTTTTGTGGATACCATGAGGCTTACATACAGCATCTTCTATATAGTCATGCATTAGTTAACGATGGGGATACATTCTGAGAAATGTGTCGTTAGGCAATTTTATCATTCTTTGAATATTGTAGTGTGTCCTTACACAAATCTAGAAGGTATAGCTTATTACATACCTAAACTCTATGGTGCTAGTCTTATGGGACCACTGTCATATTTGCTGTCTGTTCTTGACCAAAATATCATTCTGTGTCACATGACTGTAGTTCTAACAGTCTATTTTAAACTAATCACAACTCAACTTCAATTGCATACAAAAACCTCTACACTTTTACATCACCTCTCCCTGCCATTATTTCTTCAAATATTCTTTGTGCCTTTTCTTCTTTTTCTTCTTCTGGGACTCTCATTTGTATCTTGTTATGCTTGATGGTGTTCCACAGGTCTCATTGCTCTGTTTATTTTTTATTCTTTTTTCTTTCTGTTCTTCAGATTGGATAGTCTCTATTGACCTATAATTTTTGTCTTTTTATTGATATTCTTAATTTTATGAGACATTATCCTCATACTTTCTTTCAGTTCTTTAGGAATGATTTCCTGTAGTTCTTTGGACATATTTATTTATTTTTTTTTTGTGAGGAATATTTGCCCTGAGCTAACATCTGTGCCAATCTTCCCCTATTTTGTATGTTGGTCGCCACCTCAGCATGGCTGACAAGTGGTATAGGTCCACGCCTGGGAACTGTACCGGCAAACCTGGGCCACTGAAGTGGAGTGCACTAGACTTAACCACTGCCTCTTTGGACATATTTAAAATAACTGTCTGATAGTTCAGCAACTTGGCTTCCTCAGGGACAATTTCTCTTACCTGTTTTTTTCCTGTATTTGGGCCAGACTTCTTTCTTTGCATCTTTTATATTTTTTTTTTGGTTCAAAACTGGATATTTTAAATAGTATAATATGGCAGCTCTTCAAATTTGACTCTCCTCTCTCCCCAGGGTTTGTTATTTTTGCTGTTTGTTATTGACTTTTCTGAACTAATTCTGTAAAATCTGTATTCTTTGTCATATGTGACCAGTGAAGTCTCTGCTTGGTTAGCTTAATCATCAGCTAGTAATTAGACAGAAATTTCCTTAAATGCTTAAAGCCAGTAAATCTCTCAGCCTTTGCAGGAGCTCTTTGCGTATTTTGAGGCATGCCTTAATTTTTAGGCAGGCAGTTTACAACTCTTCCTTAGATTTTATTTCCTGCTTTTGCAGAGCTTCATCTTCAGCCAGAGGTAAGTGTTTTGGGCCTTCTTAAGTTTTTCCTGGGCATGTGTACAGCCCTCCATGTGTGTGGCCTTTTAGAGTCACAGGAATTGTTGGAACTTTTCATAACTCCTGTGGATATCTGTATTAGTCTGCTCAGGCTGCCATAACAAAATACCATGTACTGGGTGACTTAAACAACAGAAATCTATTTTTTTACGTTTCTGGAGTCTAGAAATCCCAGATCAGGGTCTGGTAAGGCTGGTTTCTGGTGAGGATTCTCTTTCTGGCTTGTACATGGCTGCCTCCTTCTTCTGTCCTCACATGGCCTTCCCTCCATGCTTGTGTAGTTGTATGTGTGTGGAGAGAGTGAAGGAGAGAGAGATATCTCTCTTTGATGTCTCTTAGAAGGACACTAATTCTGTTGGATCAGGGCCCTACCCTTATGACTTGATTTATCCTTAATTACTTCCTTACAGGCCCCATCTCCAAATACACAGACACCAAAAATAAGGGCTTCAACATGTAAATTTTCAGGGTTCATTAACATTCAGTCATAAAACCCTCTCTTTCCTCACTTATTTTTTTTGTTTTTTTTCCATCTACTTTTTTACCCCATCTGTTATCATTGTCTCAGTCAGTTTCAGTGTTAAACAATTGCTCCTGATCATTTTTAACAAATTCCCCTAGCATAGAGGCTGTTCACACTCGGCAAGCTTTGAGTCAGGTCAAAAAAAGACAAGCCATGCTAGTGGTGTTTCCAGGGAACTGCCAGACATGACAAATAATGACAGTTCTTTGCTAATGTTGCTCCACAACTGCTCTGTCTCCTGCAGTGGCTGTAGCTGCTTGTTTCCACTGTGATTGCAGAGTAGTTGTTTTCTAAGATTCCTATGGAGGAAGGGAGAGGAGGATCTAAATAAGAAAAACTACAGTGTCCCAAAGCTCTGTGTTCTTATCAAGATTCATCTGTTTTTCTTGAGTCAACACTCCCCAGATTGTTGTAAGTCTTTGGTTAATTTCTAGAATACCAAAAAAGTTGATTTTGACAATTTTTTGTAGTATTCTCATTGCTTTTGTGGAGGAGAGGAATTTTGGAATAGTCTTTATTCTGCCATTCCCAGTGACTTCACCTGTCTTTATTTTTTTCCTCCCCAAAGCCCCAATACATGGTTGTATATCCTAGTTGTAATTCATTCTAGTTCTTCTATGTGGGATACTGCCACACCATGGCTTGGTGAGCAATGTGTAGGTCTGTGCCCAGGATCCAAATCGGCATACCCCCAGGCCACCAAAGTGGAACATGCACACTTAACCACTCAGCCACAGGGCCAGCCCCCTCTCTCACTTTTTAAAATGTTTTTTCTATTTCATTTTTTCTTCTTAACTGTCTTTTCTTTCTTTCTTCTTATGGTGGTGTTATTTTATTTTTTGTGTGTTATTGTTCTGGCAGTGGCTCAGAGGCATTGCTTAATAGGCCATTAGTAGTACTCAGGACCAAGAAGCTTATTTTAAATCAAAGAACTTTTGTGATTAAAAAACAAAAATGTAGTCTTAGATGACTAATTTTGTTTTAAATAAGGAAGCCTAGGAGCATTATTCACCCCTCCATCCCTTTCTCTATGTTCTTAACATATATATGTTTTATGTATTTAACATATACTTATGTATTGTTTGGTTATGAGATTTGACTTTCTATTTATTAGTTTGAGAAATGTTTGTCTAACAACATGGGAGATTCTAAATAAGTCAGGCATTCTTGTAGCCCTCTAGACTAAAAGTATCAACTCAAGTTCCTTTTTTATTGTCCTAGTGTGAACCAGGGTATTTTGGTGTGTTTCTTTCCATACCAGATAGTGGTACCTTTCTAACCTAAAGGTAGAAATATTTTCATGTTATTACTATTTTTCCTAGTTGCCATTCTAACATCAAAAAAATAATCATTATAATTTTCTCTTTTAATTAGTTGAACTTTTCCCCTTAGGTATAATGTTTATCAAGTAATAAAGAGAGATACTTGTTTTTCTTCTTTTTAGAATCTCAAAATGTGGACTTTGTTTGTAGTGTTCTTGTGGTGGCTGATCAGCTTCTCATAACTCGACTGAAAGAGATTTGTGAAGTAGCATTAACTGAAAAACGTGAGTATTTTTGAATTAGAATATTAGTATTTTTTCACGTTGATCCAGGATCACTGTGTTTTATTGACTGTGATGCCATTTATAGTAAAATGCACCATTATTTTTTTGTATCATGAAAAATGTCAAAACATTTCAATTATTTTGTGTCATCATTTGTAAGCATATTCTTATTTCCGAGATGTTAATATGTAAAAATACATCTTAGAATTGAAATATTTTAATTTTTTTGAAATGTCAAGACTGAATAATAGAGATGGTGTGAAATTTATTTTGGAATTTCAAGGATGAGTGTTTGAAAGCATGAGGTGTTTGAAAGATGAGAGTTTTTTTACCCTTGCCAAGGGCTTGGCTGTAAATCTGTGTTTAGCTACCCATTCCTAATAGTTGCTGGAATTTTTTTTTTCCCCTGAGCAAGATTTGCCCTGAGCTAACATCCATTGCCAGTCTTCCTCTTCTTTTCTTTCATGTAAGCCACGGCCACAGGTTGGCCACTAACTTAGTGGTGTAGGTCTGTGCCTGGGATCTGAACCTGGGCTGCCAAAGTGGAGTGTGCCGAACTTAACCATTAGGCCACCAGGGCTGGCCCTGAAATTTTTATGTAACTGTTCCATTAATATGTTTGATCAAAACATCTCCCTTCTCAAACTCTGCTTTCTTTCTCTGTTCTTCATTTCAGTTAATTGTATGGCTGTCCTCCTGAACATTCAACTTTTTGAAACCCAGTTATTTTTTATTCGTTATTTTGTTCCTTATACCCACATTCCTTCAGTTGTCAAAATGGATTCATCTAAGCTATGTTGGTCACATTTCCCCCACCTTTCTATTCTGTGACTATGCTAGTTGAGATACCTGTTTTCCATCCCTTCTGTGTAACATGACAGTAGTCTTTTAAGTCCTCTTTCTTTTCTTCTTCTCTTTTTTTAATCTTTCTATAGGAGAAGTAACTATGTTTTCCCCTGTTTAGCTATTTTTAATTGTTTACTCTCGGGTAAATGTTAAATTTCTTTAGTCTGTTATAAAAGTTTCTTTCTAATCTTACCTTTGTTCTCCTTCATTGCTACATTGCTGCTTCAGGAACTGTGAAGGCATTTCCTATCAATTTTTTCTTATTTGTACTTGCAAGTAGTTTGTCTTAGCTCTAGTGTCTTATTTAGTTACTTTTCTTGAGCTCTGTGGATATCTTCTCCTTGGTTTTCAAAAAGAACAACAGCTCTGATCTTTTAAGCAAGAAAAGGGAAATACATTAAAATAAAGGACATAACATATATAGGTATAAAGTATACGTATAGGTAATGTTTTCAGTTGTTTACGTGACTCTTCTGGCATTCCTTGGATTTTCTTTCTTGGCCCCTGCCTTTATTAATGAATTTCTTGTTCTTCCTAGAACATAGCAGGAGAAGGGTTCAACAGAAGTGTGGCCTCTGATTATTCGGCAATCCTTGTTCCCAGCTGAACACCTCTAAAGCTTTTATATGATCCATTTTTCTTTCTTTATAATGGGAGACTTTGGGTTCATCATTAGTTGAAACTCCAGGTTAGTCAGGAGTGAGGCAGAGACCATTATTGGCTGCAGTTCTAACTTTTGACAGAGTTACAAGGGAGAGAAAAAAAAAAGAAATGAAGGAAGCCACATGTAGAAAACAGTTGTATTTGTCTGTTGGTTGTAAATAAGAAGTAGAGTAAATAAGAAGAAGAACGGAGGGGTTCAGGAAGCCAAAGTTATATGCTAATTAGATAGTATACTCTGGGACGGTCTCTAGCAAAACAGTGCACTTTATATATAAAGTTACTGAGATTCTAACAAAACCCAGAATCTTTTGTATAGTATACCAGATTCTGCACTGGCATGAACAATAATATGGTAAGATTTAGATCCACTTATTTTCTAAATATATAGCGTGTGTATGTATTTATATATATAAATATACACACATAAATTCTGATACATTACTCAACATGTTTTATAGAATGGTTTCATCAGTTCTGTTAGCCTTAGTGTTTAGTTCTATAGTCCTTTTAGTTTTTTAATCTTATAGAAGTCTTTGTCTATTAGTTTTATAGAAGAGAGAATGACTATTCTGTGCTGTGTGTAAATGAAAAGTTGTTTCTCACTTAAAGTTAGAAATATTCCAAAAATATTAGGTGGAAGATTGTTGATTATGTGTTTGCTTTTAGGTGACACTGTAATACATCTTCTGTATTTTCTTTTTTCCTTTTTTGAGGAAGATTAGCCCAGAGCTAACATCTGCTACCAATCCTCCTCTTTTTGCCGAGGAAGACTGGCCCTGAGCTAACATCGTACCCATCTTCCTCTACTTTATGTGTGGGATGCCTGCCACAACATGGCTTGACAAGTGGTGCCATGTCCACACCCAGGATCCAAACTGGCAAACCTGGGCCTCCAAAGCGGAATCTGTGAACTTAGCGCTGCACCACCGGGCCTGACCCTGTATTTTCTTTTGACTAAAATTCTTTTGTGTGTGCTTTTTTTTCCCTATAACCAATCATTTAAAATTACTTTGGCATATTATATGGGATGGAAAATGAGTTCTATATTTGCCCTAATATAACTCATTTTTGGCAAGAAACTACTTTGTTGTCTTTGTTCTAAATGTTCAAACCTGACACCTTTAGAAATAAGTATATTTTATTTGCTGTAGGAACATGGCTTTCATCTCATTTTGCATATCTTCCTTTGTAGTTACGCTTAAGAATGCTGCTACACTACTGGAATTTGCAGCAGTGTATAATGCTGAACAATTGAAACTGTCTTGTTTACAGTTTATAGGACTGAATATGGCAGCTTTACTTGAAGCAAGGTGGGTTGGGTGCATTCATTATATGACTGTTGCAGAAGCAATTATTTATAATAGCAGCTATGTTAGTAATTTAAATGAGAATAATGATAAATTCTAACTTTGTAGAGATGAAAATGTAATGAGATTCAATCATTCCATCAATATTTGAGTGCCTAATATATGCCAGCCATTGCCAAAGTACAGCAGTGAACAAAACAGACAAAATCCTTGCCCTTAAGGAAACTCACATTTCTGGTTAGAAAGTTGGGGAACAATATTATAAGTATATTTTTTATATGTATGCATATCTGTTTATTTAGGCTGATTTGCAACTGTGTAATTGTTACCTTGGCTTTTGGAAACTAACTGTAATACTAATTAAGTCAGCATTTAATTACTTCACACGTAAGCATGCATAAAATTTGTTACTGGTTCACTTCTGTTTTCTTTTTCTATTTATTCTCTTTAAGATATTTCCTATACTACTTATTGATTCTTTGGTTAAACTTAGGCTACAGCAGAAAGCTGAAAAATTTAGTTGCTCTAGTTTGTTGCAAGCTGATATGTGTGTTGAAGGCTTTCTGTGGAAATCAGTGAGTAATGAAATGTTACTTATGAAAAATGACACGTTTTTTATAAAAAAAATTGACTAAATATATATACCCTGTTTTATAAGCTAATATTTCATATTAGCGATGTTTACCTGGATGGAAAGAATTTGATAAATGCTAATAATTTAGGAGTTATAGACATGTTAGAATTAGAAAGATCTTGGAAATTTCATCCCAATTTTTCCAACTGTTTTAGCAGTGGAATTTTTAGTGAAATAAATTTACAGATTTATTTTTAATGTAAGTCAAAATTTTATTACATTTACTCACTATGAAGTCAGTGGTGGGGAAAATAAGGTGCTTTTGTTAAACGTAGGAATTTGAGATTAGAGTTCTTGGTGTCATTTTGCATTTTTAAAGCTTCAATATCTAGTTTATTTCTGTATTTTGTTTTAATCATAGTAGTAATAACTAATACTTCCATAATAATAGTTACTAATATTAATAACTAATAATAATAGTGGTAATAATGGTAACTAATACTATGTGCCAGGTAGCATTCTAAAAGCGTTACATAGATTCAGTTGATTTTCATGAAAAACTTACAAAGTAGGTTTCTGTTTATATCCTCATACTACAGATGAGAAAACCCAGGAACCTTTTTTGTTTTTGTTGCAAAGAATCAAGAAAATCTTGATCTATATCATTTTTTATAAATGGTAATTTTTTTTGATAACTCACCTTTCAAAGTCAGGATGATCTATAATGAAACTAATTCCAAAACATGATTGAAATAAAAGTGTTCTACTAACAGATTGTTAATAATTGTCACGTAGAGTTCAATTTAGAGCAAATTCTTTTGGCAGTTTAATGCCTTGTTATTTTGTCAAAAAAGCTTTTTAAATGCAAATTAACATTATAGGATATTAGACAATGTCATTTTAAAATGCCTCTGGTATTTTAGTGTCAGAACTTGGCTAGGGTTTCAAAATAAATTTAATGTCTTTGCTGACATTACATTAGTAATTCTAATCATAGCAATTGTTTTTTACTTTGTATTGCCAAATTAAGCTCATTCAGTTTGTCAGTTAAGAATCAACCAAAATATAAAATAAGCACCAAATCTATCTAAAATATGATATTGGAAAATGATGTGTCACACTATTATTGTTCAATTATTATATTGTGACAAGTCTGTTAGCTGAATTAAGAATGGCTCATGTGCTGTGGTGATGTCTCTACTTGTATAACTTTACATAAGTAGATATACATAACTTGCATTAAAACAAAGATTTGTATAAATTTAACCATTCCTAACCGAATATGTGTTTGCGAGAAGTGTAAATAAATATATGCAGAGATGTTAAGAAAAGGAGGGCTGCACCAGAATTGACCTACATCACAAGTTAATTATCCTCAAAATGTTAATAACTGGTATGGTACAGCTTTGAATTTGCAAGTTGTTTTGTATTCATCGTAAAAATAGTTTAAAATATAAACTTTGATTTAAATTTTCACTGATACGTTAAAGTACCTCTTTGGAACCTGGGCGTTCTTTGAAATCTACTTTGAATACAGCTGATGTAATCCAGATAGCATTTTACACATGAAAATACTAAAGCCCAGGGAGGTAGTGAGTTGCTTAAGGTCATGCAGGTAATTGGTAGCATAATTCTAGAGAGAATTCAGGTATCCTGATAGTTTGGTCATTGTTCTATCAATATGGTAGTGCTTTTGTAATTAAAGATTATAATTTGTGGAAAACGAGGTTTGGAAAATGAATATTGCTATTTCGTTATGATAGAAAAAGGTTTTCTATCACTTATTTGTAAGAGTTGCGTGAGTTTTATTCAAGATATTTTGTCTATATATCTTGCTGTTTATTTGAAATATATACATACACATAATTACAAAAAGAATTTGTAGCAGTGGCATATTAATACTTTAAAAAACAACTTATTCAGCAATATAAAATGTCTCTACATATTTGAAAATCTTGACAGGTATTGGGTTCTTGAGTCTTAAGATAGAATTTTGTGTCTTATTTTTTAGGTCTCTTGATGTTTTAAGTGATGGTGTTTTGAAAGATCTTTCTGTGTTTTATAGAAAAATGGTAAGTTTTATGTTTTTTTCCTGATATTATCAACTAAAGCACTATATTAGGTCTGACTTCTCAATGGAATAATTTCCTAGTGAATTCTAATACATTAGGATCTTTAAAAATGAGAACAGAGGGCAGCCCGGTGGCGTAAGTGGTTAAGTTCGCATACTCTACTTTGACCGACCCACGCTCGTGGGTTTGGATCCCAGGTGCAGACCTACACACCACTTGTCAAGCCATGCTGTGGTGACATCCTGCATACAAAATAGAAGAAGATTGGCAAAGATGTTAGCTCGACAATCTTCCTCAAGCAAAAAGAGGAAAATTGGCAATAGATGTTAGCTCAGGGCCAATTTTCTTCACCAAAAGAAAAAAAGAGGACATAAGATTTCTTTACTGATCTCACAGTTAAGTATGATAATCAAAATTGAAAATATTTAATGAGAAAGTTATCTGTTTTAATTCCTTTATAAATGAAAGTTACTGGAAGCTTCAGAGTCTTTCATTGTTTGTTATTTACCAAAGGACAGGACAGTGCAAAAACATGGACTCACATGATCTCTAAGAAATGAATTACTTTGTATTTGATAGTAAAGTGGAGTTTTTTTGTCTAGTTTTTTATTTTCTTTTTTGAGTTTTATGGAATAAACTGTTTAATGAATCCAATCAATTTTTTACCCTGGTGTAAATTTAGGAAGTCATTAGACCTTCTAGACTTTTTTTCTAGTTAATGTCACCACATATTAAGACAAATGGGATATCGTAACTTTTAAAAAAAAAAAACTTTACAAATTTTGTATTTAAAAAGTGACATCTTTTTTTCTATAGGTTCCGGGAATGGATAGAAGAGTTATTACACCATATCAAGATGGACCAGATATTAGCTATTTGGAAGTAGAAGATGGAGATATCTTTTTGAAAGAAGAAATAAATATGGAACAAAATTATTTGTAAGCTCTGTTTCCGTTTTTTTCTTTTACTCCCTTCCTTCCTTCCTTCTCCCCTGACACCCCTGATCTTGGACACTACTGATACATTTGTATTGATATTGAAAGAAAATAATTGAGAAACCTGACATAAGAAGTATGTATTTATGTTCATTCTTAGCCTTGATAGAATACAAAGTAAATGCATAGTTAATATTTGAGATATAGCAAAATTATGTATAAATGTGAAGGGAATGTAGCCTTCACGTTAAACATACTGAGCTGAATAAGTGCATTTGTCCTGGCTACCTTCCCAAACACTGCTGAGATTTTAATAAAGAAATAAAAAAGGTAAATTGTGCTAGAGCAAAGAGAACAGGAAAGGAGAAAACAACAGTCAGGAGATGTTAATAGTTTTGGAAGTTGGAAAGTGGTTGCTGAGCAGTAGTGACTTAGAACAGAAAAAACTAAAACAGAATTCTGGAAAGGCTTAATTAAGAATCAGAGATACCAGGTGTTTGAAGATCAGGGTGACTGGTTAGATTTGGAAAAGAACATTTTTTGAGATTCTTTCGAAGAACATTGATCTCTTCCTGAAGCCCCTTCAACCAAATGATTGTCCCTCCTCCATCTTGGCAGAAGACTAGAAATTTGCCCTCTGGAGAGGCTGAACCAGAGAGGAGTGTATCAGCCATTTCTCTAGATTATTCTCTGTAGAGAGCCTGGCTTGTTGAAGAGATATGACCTTCAGTGACTGACATTTCAGAGTCCTCCAACAAAACATCCCAGGTTTTATGCAGTCTCCCTGTAGTGGGGCCGACCATTTGTCAAGAGCTGCTCAGAATTTCCAATCCCTGTTTAAGGCTTACTAAGCAGCTTACAGAATTACTTTCCTTCTACTTGGTAAATGACCTGTTAAAATCTTTGGGTTTTCAAGTCATTTACTATATATATAGTAACCAACTATGTAGCTCACTGAAAAGCTGCTCTTGGGTTCCAGAGATGTTCTTTTTCTTAACCCTTTTTCTAGAATTTAGTAGCATTTGGAATACTTGAAGTTTGTAGTTATCTGGCATAGTTTTTAATATAATGCATGTCATACATCTATAATAAAATTATTAACATAAGTGTTATCCTTTACAAAGTAATAGTATTCACAGCTGGCCTGTGTAACTGCAGATGAATTATATAATGAGATCTATAATTTTTAGGTGAAACAAGACAGTTGTAGTACTCATAGATACTTTTATTTTCCCTTTCCTGATTAATAATACTCAATTCAGGGAATTAAGCATTCCCTGAAATGCTTTAAAAAGTTTCGCCAAATATTTCTAGTTTAAGATCATAGTTTGTAATAGCTTGTGTGTGAACATGTGCAGTATTTTACTTTTCAAAGTATTCCTATATACCGTCTTGTTTCTAACTTTCACAGACATGCTAGGGGTAGAACAAGGAATTGTATCACACAGAAGTTCAGTAAAATTGAGTGATTTGCTCTAGGCCACATAGATAAATGTGACTAGAACATGTATATCTTTTGTATTTTCTGTTTGACCAAAATGTTAAATACTGTTGCTTAAAATGCATAGTTCTGCTGTTTCATCTCTAACTTAATTTATTTTTAGGAAGTGACTTTTATGTTTGCTTTTTCTTAGGGAAAGTATATTCAAGAAGGCAAAAACGAAAGCAAAAAAGAAGCCACGTAAGCGTTCGGATAGTTCTGGAGGTTATAATCTTTCAGATATTATTCAGAGTCCACCATCTACAGGTTAGTGGAAAGTGTTTTAGGATATATTTCCGATCTAATCTTTCATGTCTCTATTCGTTATCTGATTCATTTAACATGTATTAAATACTATTATGTGCCATGTGCTGGGGCTACTGAAATAGAAAATAGTCCTTGTCTTAGGCAGGCTACAGAAAATGATAGTATATTGTGATACGTACTCTGACTGAAGTTTGCTCTAGGAGCACAAAAGAGGCACCCAAACTAGTCTGAGCAGATCAGGGAAGAACTCTTAAAGGAAAGTGATACCTGAGTTGGATCTTGAAGAATGAGGAGAAATTAGCCAAGAAAAGGAGGCCAATATGTTCCCAAACCTTGAGGCAGTAGCAAGAACTGTACATTTCTTGTGCATAAAGTTCAACATGGCTCGGCTGTACAGGGTATGTGCAGATAGGAGATAAGTTGGAGACGGTCAGATTTTGGAGGATATTGTATGCTTAACTAAGGAATTTGGATTTTATTTTGAACGCTATGGGTAGCTATTGATGGATTTTAAGATGGAGTGTAACTGTATAAGATTTATGTTTTTAGAAAGCCTGCTCTGTCCAGGAGCATAGAGGGTTAGAAGTGGGCAAAACATGACAGAGATACTATTATCACGTGGATTCAAATCCTAAATATCAGTACTCCAAGTGAGATGCCAAGTAAGATGCCATTCATGTGCAGAAGGAGACTATAATTCAGTAGAAGAATGCAAAACATTTTACATCTAGGCAGAATGTGAGCCTGTTTGAAAGTAATGGTTATGTAGTTTTTCTAAAATTTTTTTCCCAATTTTTTGTTTTGAAAATCTTTAACTTACTAAAAAGATGAAAGAAAAATGCCATGAACACCTATTTACCTTTCATCCAGATTTACAGTTAACCTCTTGCCACATTTGCTTTTCTTGCAGGCTTTCTAAAAAGTTGCCTGTTCTCTTCCCTCATCCTCCACACACTTTTTACTGATCCACTTGGAAGTAAGTTATAGACATGACATTTTGGCCTCAACTTTAATATGAATCTCCTAAGAATAAGGATATTCTTCTACACAACCACAATACCATTATCACACCTAGGACAGTTAACATTAATTCATTAGTATTATCTAGTATTACAGTCTATATCTAGATTTCCTAATTGTCCAAAAATGTTTTTATAGCCTTTTTTTAACCTTAAAAAATACCTAGTATCCTATCGAGACTGACATTGCCTTTGCTTATTAATGTCTCTTTGGTCTCTTTTAACTAAAGCAGCACCCCTCACACCTTTTTATTTTGTTTTCAAAAGTTCAGGCCAGTAGTATTATAGACTATCCCACATTCTGGATTCATCTGATTAGATCCAGATTAAACTATCTAAATTTTAGTAGTTTCTTTAGCGAAAAATATGAAGTGAGACTATAAAATAATGAGAATACAGTATGGGTTTTAGAAATGGTAGGTGTGTCTGTAGCATAAGACATAAACTAGTACAATTTCTATCAGCAGTATTTTTATAGTCAGCCTTATACAAGCAACTTTGAAAAATACAAGTGCACATTGATTTGTGTCCCTGTGGAAAAAATAGCTATTATTCAGGGCAAAGAAGGAATACGTTTTTGTTTAATATATGAGGTATTTGACTTGTTTGATAAAGTTCAAAGGAGTAAATAATTTCAAGATTAATTGTTTTAGATAACACAAAAGATGTAAAAAAGATGGATAATATACCTAAATTGATTGAGGAAGCACTGAAGATAGGTCTTTTCTGTTTAGTACATCTCCTGACTTCTGTTCTAGGACCTTTCAAAATGTAAAATTCTGTGATTTTGTGTTTTCTGTGCTGTGTGAATTACCTCTACTCCTTGGAAGGAGGCATGGATGGACGGACAGAAGGATGAATAAACGGGTAGACAGACAGTCGTGAAACTAGGGATTTTCAGTCACTTAAAAGGTTTATGGAAAAAGCAGATATTTGGTTTGTTTTAACTAATGTTATTGTTAGCCCATGTGTTAGAGTCTTAGCATTTCAGAGCTGGAAGAGACGTTAGTAATGAACTAATAAACCTGAGGAAACAAACTCAGAAAACTTAAGTGATTGGAGGTAGTTTCAGATAGAAATAGAATTTATTTTCTTGATTCCAGTTCTGTATTCTTCCTTCTGTTCCACTCTTTCTGTGGCCAAAGTGGATAATGATTAAATGATTAAATTTAATTAGGAGCCAAAAAGACCTTTTCTGGAAGAAAATTTGAATGTGAGATAAATTTCATCAAAGATAGTTGTGTGGGGCCGGCCTGGTGACGCAGCAGTTAAGTTCGCATGTTCCACTTTGGCAACACGGGGTTCGCTGGTTCAGATCCCGGGTGCAGACATGGAACCACTTGGTAAGCCATGCTGTGGTAGGCATCCCACACATAAAGTAGAGGAAGAAGGTACGTATGTTAGCTCAGGGCCAGTCTTCCTCAGCAAAGAGAGGAGGATTGGCAGCAGTGAGCTCAGGGCTAATCTTCCTCAAAAAAACAAAAGATAGTTGTGTGAAGGCTTAACATTTATTTGTGTTGATCCTTAAAGTAAAGTTAGATGAAGGACGTTTGGTGAATATATTTTTTACCAAAAGTAATTGTTGGCCACTTTAATCATCCTCTTTATTCATTAGATTGATTTCTGATTGACTTTAGGGAGCATTCTAGTATTAAATATACTCTCTTAGGTAAAAATTTATTACTCTTAAAAATATTTTGAAAGATTGTGTGGGGAAAAAAAGTTTGAATGTTATTTTGAAATATATTTTAGCAGTGTTAACAAAAGAGGCATATATCTTGTCAAGGTGATTTATTATCTGTATAATAATAAATATAAGAGATGGTATGTTTTATTTATTTATGTATTTATTTTTTGGTCAGGAAGATTGGCCCTGAGCTGAAGTCTATTGCCAATCTTCCACTTTTTGCTTGAGGAAGATTGGCCCTGGGCTAACAGCTGTGTCAGTCTTCCTCTATTTTGTATGTGGGATGCTGCTACAGCATGGCTTGATGAATGATGTGTAGGTCCAGGCTCCGGATCTGAACCCGCAAACCCTGGTCCGCTGAAGCGGAGTGCACGAACTTAATGACTATGTCACTGGGCCAGCCCCTGTTTTATTTATTTTTAAATCAGTTGTACAACTTTTAGTTACAGCTCGTATAATGTGTTTATTTTGTTTATTTTGCTACTTCATTTAGATTCTACTGAATTTGAAATATGTGAAAATAAACACATGAACCTAAGCAAAAGTTTACTTTTTACTCTGTTTGTATTTGAAATCATTCTGGTCTGCTAGTGCACCTGGATACCAGGTGTGGCAGAGACAGGTATTTAGCTTGTCTAAGGGAAGAAATGGTATACACATTTTATAACAACTCTTTTGCTTTAGGTGACAAGCTAATTAAAAATAGCTCTGAATCCACAGATATTTTGCAGAAGGAACAATCCTCAAATAGGCTACAGTTGGCTTCAGCAAAGCCTCTGCTTACTGGGTTAATATCTTGACTAGATTAGAGGCAGAAAGGCTACCATGCTCCTCCCACACAGAGTGGGGCCATTCCTCTTCTGCGTGAGAACAGAGGTGCAGGGAGAAAGGTGGGAAAGGGGTCTGGAGTTTATTAATTTTGTCTTCCTTCTTTATGGGGAAAAAAGTTCTGAATCACTTCTTAAAGCAGATCCCAAAGAACTGTCTTCCTCAGGTTTATTGAATAATTGGTGTAATTGAAATGAATAAAACTGTTGTTTTAAAATCTCCTCCATTTCAGTTTTTCAGCTGATTTCTTTCTTCACTTAGCTTGAATTGCTAAGATTTTGGTACTGTGACTATAATTTAACGTTCTTAAACCTGGATAAATGGAAGCTTTTAGCTCTGGTTTGGTTTGGTGAATGTAATACATGTATGTTTGCTGTATATATGTTTAAATATTTTTAAAAATTTTGCATTTTAGGATTATTAAAGTCTGGTAAGACCACTTCTGTGGAATCTCTTCCAGAACTATTGACATCAGACTCTGAAGGAAGCTATGTAGGAGTGGGTAGTCCTAGAGATTTACAGTCCCCTGATTTCACAACAGGATTTCATTCAGATAAGATGGAGGTTTGTTTTTATTTGTTTATTAATGTACTGTTTTTTTTTAATTTCAAATTTTAGGTTTATAGACAGTTTATCTTTAGTTTTTCATCAGTTTTACTCTTACCTTTAAAACATTCTCCTGGCTGGTTTATAAGAAAATACAATTAATGACATGTATAGTATTAGTTTTCTGAAATTTGCTTAATGTTTCTGGTTTTAAAGATTTTAATGGCAGTTTTGAGCCCTTTACGACATTGTATTTCTGTTCTTTCTGCAACTAAAGTGTAGTGTTAATGTAAAATATAGCAACACTGTATAGACACATTGAAAAATATATTTTTAGCTAAATTACTTGAAATTATTTTGTGAAATGTCAGTTAATAGCAGCTAAAAATTGTCAAAGGAAAATTGTTTTGAAAGTAAGCCTAATTTCAAATTCTGCATAGTGTCTTTCCTCCATGGTGTAAACTGGAGCAGTACAATCTCGAATGGAGTTCTTCTCCTATTCTAGCACAGTCGACATTAAGGTACAGGATTCCTAGTCTGGTCAACTCTGAGGAGGCCTTTTTTTAGACATTTCTTAACATTTTATTCCATAATTGTTAATCTATAGGGAAGGAAAATGTCTAACCTATTAGATATAGAGTCATTTTTTCCTAACTCTGTACATCCACAAAACAGAACTTCTAGAAATTTGTGAGACAATGGAAAATTTACCCTCTCTTCTTCTAGGCCTCAAAGATTGATTAAAAAAAAAATTTTTTTAATGTAGGGTAGAAATTTAGGGGCAATTCATACTAAATCTAAGGTTGGTCTGGAAGACAGTTGAGGTTTAAAGGAAGGTTGGAGGCATGCTGTGAATGTCCAGCAGTAGTAGAAGAATCTCTTGTGGCAGTTGAAAGACTATTTTAGTAACTTTCTTGACCTATTGTAATAGCGATAGTTTGAGGGTTCCTTTTGAAGTGTCACTATTATTTGACTAATTTTATTCAAATTGAATTATATGACTTTTATAACAAACTTTCATTTTGTTTCATATTAAAGTCATGGACATTAATTTTAGTTACTGTTTCATATCTTATTTGAACAACTTTTATTTGTTAACTTTCTTTTTTTGAGGAAGATTAGCCCTGAGCTAACTGCTGCCAGTCCTCCTCTTTTTGCTGAGGAAGACAGGCCCTGAGCTAACATCCATGCTCATCTTTCTCTACTTTATAACTGGGACGCCTACCACAGCACGGCTTTTGCCAAGTGGTGCCATGTCCACACCTGGGATCAGAACCAGCGAACCCCGGGCCGCCAAAGTGGAACATGCGAACTTAACCACTGTGCCACTGGGCCGGCCCCCGTTTACGTTTTTAATGCCTACGTAAATAGGGATTTAATATGCAAACTTATTTCCCTAAACATTATTCCCAAAGCTCACAGTAATTGAGTTATAGTTACTGATATGGTCTGTGAATTGGTTAAGGTACTAAACTTTAGAAGAACTGAATTGAAAATGCTAGATGATGACTGTCATAAGATTTTACTCTTTGGTATAATTTAACCAATATTTATTAAGTACCAACTGTGTGTTAGCTGTTGTGCTAGGTGCCTGCTATTACTCACTTTTTGTTTTTTATTTTTTTTACCCCCAGGGGAAAATTAAACCATATGTTAATGGTACACCTCCTGCATATTTTAGGGATGATTTAAAACCCTGGGAAAAATCACCAGTATTTAAAATATCTGCTCCACAGTCCATTCCCAGTAACAGAATTGATACTACAGGCTCTTCTAGTTGGGTTGCTGGTTATTTCAGGTAGGATTTTCATTTTGTTCTGTACCTGAGAAATATTCATTTTTAGTCAAATGAAAATTTTAAGGAAGCACAATTAAAAAACATTAATGTGAATGTCTAATACACAGAAAATTACCTAAGTGCGTACAAATTACTGCTACATACATACAAATTACAAACCTAAGAGCTAAAATAGGCTCTTTTTCCTAGATAAAAATTTAGTTATCTTTGTGTTGTCATCAGTGAATACTAGCAAATACTATTTAACACATGTGTGCATGCACATACACACACATATATAGTCACTTGATAGCAGCTTTTTTTTTGGTAGTATATATTACTCCCATTTGGTAGTATATAAAACTCCCATGCGGGAAGACCATTTCATCATCTGTAGGATTACTTTATCTTTTTTTTTAGCACATTAAGGGGTATTTAAGATCTCACAAAATATTGTTATTTACAGTAAATTTTCAGAGGATATTCACTTAATGTTATACTGTGCTGTTTTTTTTAAAGATTGGCACCTGAGTTAACTGTTGCCAATCTTCTTTTTTTTTTTTTTTTTCCTGCTGTTTCTCCCCAAAACCCCCAGGACATAGTTGTATATTCTAGTTGTAGGTCCCTCTGGTTGTGCTGTGTGGGATGCCACCTCAACATGGCCTAAGGAGCAGTGGCATGTCTGTGCCCAGGATCCAAACTGGTGAAACCCTGGACTGCCAAAGCTGAGCGCTCAAACTTAACCACTTGGCCTCAGGGCCGGCCCCCTATACTGTGCATTTAACTTACCTATATTTTATTCATATTTTTTTTATTTAGAAAAATCAGTTTTTAAAACTGGAGGAGTAGATATAATTAGAATGCAGTATTCTTTCAGCATGCTTATTGAATTTGTGCTTCATCTTTATATATCTACTCTGGTTTATAATAGGGTAAAACTCTTAATTGACTGACCAGTTATATTATCATCTGGACCATTTGTGTAATTATTTTGAAATATGCTGTATTTTGCACAGTTTGAATAAAGATTATGATGTCCCAGTTTATGTAGCTTCATGGTCTAAAGGTGGTTCAGAAGTTAATTTCAATATTTTTGGCCTTTTTAAGTAAACATATTTGTGGGAACAGACGGAAACATCTTCTAATTATTAATGTTAGACTATTTTATTAAACATATTTTAAGAATAGCTGGGTGTAAAGTCAGCAGGATAGATTGGCTATTTCTAAAGATTGTAGAATTTTTTTCTCATTATGCTACAACTCCCTTTGGTAGATCTCTAATTGTTGAGCATTCCTAAGTTTTTCCATTAAATCTTTCCTTTGTTAACATTAGGCAGTAGTAAGAATTTTGTTTGTTAAAAAAGAAAGAATGTAATTTTCAAGTTCCATTCATCTTAAAGGATAAGAATTTAAACAGAACTTTGAGTTCTTTTGCCTAAGTTAGATAAGATAAAAATCTTTCTGTTGCTTGGCTTTTTTTTCTTTAAGAGTTTCACTTATATCACTTGACATTATGACTTGGGATGCATTTTAGTTGTTAAGTATGTATGCGTATGTAACAGCAGCTTTCATTCAAAACGTCATTTTTGCAGTTTGCCACAGCTGACGAAATCGATCTAAATTATCCTCTCGTTATCGATCTTTATATACAATTTACAGTTTCAGTGAAGTTTGGGGGTTGGACTTTATGGATAAATAGCATTGTAAAGTAACTTTTGTGTGTCTTTTAGTCCCGTCAGCCCTCCTGTCGTGGATCTCAGAACCATCATGCAAATTGAAGAAAATAGACAAAAATGTGGAGCTACACCAAAAACAAATTTGGGGTTGGTTAAAAAAAATCATAAAAATGGAAAGACCCTGTTGTGTTTCGGTTCTATCCTAAAGAACTGGAAAGACCTACTGGACCTTTCGTATTATTTTTATGCATTTGATGTTAAAGTTAATTATAAGGGCTTTCCTAGATAAGTTAGCATCTGTAACATTATTTCTTAAATATACGCTAAAGATTAAGTTGGGTTGCCCAGCTCTTGTGGAATACAGTATTACATGCCAGAAACTTGCCTCTAAAATGATCATTGTGGACTATTTCTGATGCAAGTGTGATATATAAGTGTATTTTAGCAGGAGGGCTCATATGGAACTATTACTTGACCATTGATAGTATAAACTGATATTGTCACTGTTGAAACTTGTGGCCATTTTGATGCCACAGGTAATAGTAAAATCACATCAGAGAAACATAAAGCAATGTAATTACCTGTAACCTTCATTAAACAGTAATTAATGCTAATTGGTTTAATTTCTAGCAAAGTGATTTCTCATGGAATTAGACTTTCTCAGAAGCAGTGCAACTAATTGGTTTAACTTAATTTCTAGCAAAATGATTTCTCATGGAGTTAAACTTTCTCAGAAGCAACGAAAAATGATTGCACTGACTACCAAAGAAAATAATTCAGGAATGAATAGCATGGAAACTGTTTTAACTACTCCTTCCAAAACTCCAAAACCAGCGAATGCATGGTATGCTCTAATTTTTATTAAAATAAGCATAGATCTGTGCATTAGTTTTTAAGGTAGTTATTGGCTTCTGGGGTTGTTTCCCACCTGTCTCTTCACATACTTCATTTCCCTCTTTGCTTTTAAGTTAAATATTGGACCTTTGGAAATACTTTATTTTTTTTTTGTTTTGACAAGTGCATCATGGTTTTCAAAAACTTTCTATATGTAGATATAATTTCTTCTTGGTATTCTAATTGGTGTTTATTGCTTAAGCAATTTAAAGGAGCGTTCTTATGTTTTCATTTTTTGTAAGAAATAATATGTATCATAGAAATATTTGATAAAAGCAAGCATTAATTTTTTTTACCACCCTAATTTCTTTGTCTTTCTGTATGCATCATTAATATCTTTGTGTTGCTATAATCATAGCTTGTTATTGTCATGTTTTTAAGCAGGGCTATTTACTTAACATTATATCATGTAAGTTTTCTCCATTAGAATTTACTAATAATGGCAGCATTGGTAGGAATAATCTCCAAAGAAGTCAGATAGCAATTTTGAGATGTGTAAAATAGCTTGTATTTTCTGCTCCCCTCCCATCTTCCCTTTTCTTTATGACTGATGTCATAAGAATTGGAAACCAGTTGTAGAGGAAAAGTTCGTGGATGGTGTGAAGGGCAAGGAAGGGATCAGTAGGATCCCGTTTCTCTTACAAGCACTGAGGAGGGTTTTGGAGGCTTCCTTTGCCTTGGGGGAATCCCTTCATGGCTTCTAATGCCTCACTTTTCTGTTTGTACGAGGGAATATTTTTCCAAATTAACAGGTAAATTGTTTTAAGAGAGTGGCAACTCATTTTATTTTGAGTGCTATCATTGGGACTAAATCAATGTCTGTCAGAGCCATTAGTACATCTAAAGCATGATCACAGATAAAGTAAAACAAGAGATGGGAAAACCCAAGAGAAAAAGAAAATAGTGTGAAACTTGAGAGAATGGGTTTAGTAGAATGTTTTAATTCATCAGTATTTGTTGTGTACCTTCTACGTGCAAGGTTCTCTTCCAGTCCTGGTGGTAAGGCAATATACAAGACTGATTTGAACATGGCCTCTGTAGGGTTTATGGAGTTGCTATTACAACAATGAGTTGTGTTTTCCCTAAATAAAAGTATGGCAAAGACTAAAAAAGCTCTTGGAATAGCTCTAAGGTACTAAATATATTGCAGTTTGCGAGAATTAACTAAGCTCATCAGGAAGCTTTGGGCTTAGTAATGTAGTTTTAGCTAGCCGTAGCATAGTCAGTTTCCTTATTTAAAAATGAAAAGTAAATGAACAAAAGAAGAAACAAAACAACGATTATCCAAATTAGGGAATCCAATTAATGGACAAATAGTGAATTTCTTGGTTCAGAATCTCTTTCAAACATAGTTCTTTCCAGCTCCAATAGAAAATGCTTTTTAATCAAATTAAAACCCAAACATAGTTTAAGAAATTTAATAGCATGGTGATAACTCCAAGGCTTTTAATAAAAGACAGCAGTCCCTGTCCCAAATCTGTCTCTTTTGTGACTTGTTAATTAAGATCACCACAGTCATATCTTATGATTTATTTCCTTTTTTTTATGCCTTTCTGGGTTTTTTTCCTAGAACAACTAATTCCCTCAATTTTTACCCTGCTACCTATGTGCTCATTACTAATTTTTCCCCCGAAACTCAACTAAAACATAGTTCTTTCCAATATCGTAAAGCATGCTAAGTAGTCTGTTTTGTTTTCTTGGAGGCATCTTCCTTAGAGCCCTGCCTTCTCTGCTCTGAACTGAGTCTTTTCCAGGCCTGCCGAATAGGTCATCTTGAGACTTCCCTTAGCTATCATCCTGGGAATTCCCTTTAGTTCCCTCCAGTGTTCGATCCCCAGTTTCCTAGGTCCTATGTTTTTCTATTTCTTGGTTTACCCCTTGTTTTGATATAGCACAACTCCAGTGGTTTTCTGAGAAAGGATGTATAAGACATAGATTTTTGGAGCTCTTAGATCTATCAAAATGTTTTTGTTCTCCCCTTCATTCTTAACTGATAGTTAGATTGGAACAGAATCCTAAATTGGAAACCATTTGTAGAATTTGTTTCTTTTTCTTGTTCATTGCTGTTGAGAATTCTAATGCCTTTCCAATTCCTGACTCTTTATGTTACCAGTTTCTCCCTCTCCCCCCCTTTGTTTTCTTGAAACTTAAAGGGCCTTTTATTTTCTTTCTTTTTTCTTTCTTTTTTTTTTTTGCTAGAGGAAGATTAGCCCTGATCTAACGTCTGTCCCAGTCTTCCTCTGCTTTGTATCTAGGATGCCTCTAGAGCATCCACACCCAGGAGCCAAACCCACAAACCTGGGCCGCCAAAGCAGAGTGTGCAGGACTTTAACCACTTAGCCATGGGGCCAGCCCCGAAAGGGTCTTTTCTTTATCCCCGTTGTGCTGTAATTTCACTGTGATGTGCCTTGTATGAGTTCTTGATACATTGTACTTGATGGGCTCTTTTAATTGGGAAAAGCATGTCTTTAAATTTTAGGGGCATCTTATGTACTATTTGATACCTTCTTCCTCACTGTTTTCTCTAGAATTCACGTCAGTTGGATGTTGCTCTTCCTGGACTTCTCTAATTTTCTTACTTTTGCTCCTCTATTGTCCATATAATTCTCTTTCTATTCTACTTTCTGGAACATTTTTCAGACTTTATTTTACAGCCCTTCTATTCAGTGTTTTATTTCATCTACTAAACTGTTTAATTGCCAAGAGCTCTTTCTTGTTTGCTGATATAGTGCCCTTTTTATAGTATCCTATTCAATATTCAAGTGTTAAGATACCTGTACTCTTTAAAGTTTTTCACTCTTTAATATATACCCAGCAAAAATATATGCCCTTGTGTACCAGGCAGCATTTATCAGAATGTTCATATCATCGTTACTTGTAAAAGCCAAAAACTGGAAACTAAATGCTAAGTGGAAACTATTGCTAAATGTCTGTAGCAGTAAATGGATAGATTATAGTTTATTTCTATTTTTATGGTAAAATACTGCACAATGAAAAAATGAATTATGACTAAATACGACTGCGTGGATGAGTTTCATCAATATAATATTGAGCAAAAGAAGCCAATTAGCAAAAAGAAAAAATCAAGTCTCTGATTCCATTTATGAAAGTTAAAAATAGTCAGTGATTTACCTTCATGTTTATTCACTCTTTCCTATGTATGTTTACTTCATTTTAACTATGGTTTGTTTTATTTGATTGTTTTAAATTTTGATTGGAAGCTCTGTGTGCGCGTGTGGTTGGACTATAGGATGACCTGGCAGTATCCTTAGAAGACCCCCCGTATGTCTGTGTCTCCTTGGTCTGTCAGTATCTCTAAAGAGGAAACTTTTAATTTTTCTATTTGCTTGCCAGCATTCTGGAAGCTGATTAGGCTAAGGAGATTAGGACTGGGACTGAGATTCTCAACATTTGGTATATATTTTCACATACCTCACCGGGAAGAAAAATGCCATAAAATTAGGCCAAAAATATTATCAGGGTATTTTTCTTTGAAAAATAATTTGGCGGCTATGAAATATAGTGATGTTTATTATACATGCATTTTATGAAAGGGTGATTTGAACATTTAAATACAAACAAATGAATAATGGGTTTTATGTATTTTAGGACACCAAGGAAATTTATCTAAGTGACCAATTATAGATAGTTTTATTCTGAATTATCGAAGTGAGATGTATCTGAATTGTCATACAGTTAATCTTTTATGCCCATTTTATGACTTCACAGATTTTATTGATAACTGAAGGATCTTTTAAAGTTCATTTCTGCTAAATTCTTTTGAATTTAGGTACTTACTTTTATTTGCACTCATTAAGCTGTGGGCTGAGGTAACTTAGTAATACGTATGTTATATATGTCAATATTTTATAATTACACATATATATAAAATAAGCATAATATAAAAATATATACATATAATTTGCTGTTTGGTTATGGAAATTTTATCCTAAATTAATGGATCAGAAAACATTTGTTAGAAATTTTAAGAACACATTTGCCTAAAATAGTTGATGCTTGGTATTCCTGAATTTTGATGCATGTTTAGTATAAATGGAAATTATTATTATTATTATTAGGTTGTTGAATAATTTTCTTTCTTGAATCCTTAGAAGGCTACAAGTTTAGTATATCATTTGATTTTTAACCAGATATACATACGGTGTAAATACATATAGTATATACTTGACGAAATTAAAAATGGAATAGATTTGTTTTCCTGAGAGTAGCCTTTGTAAATGTTGCTCTACAGAAAGTTGGTAGAATTTAAACTTTTCTCTGCTTTGAGAAAAATAGAAAATTGATCTGAAATTAGATTTTAATCTGATTTACAGATTGTATTTATAGAATGTATTCGTTACTATTGTTGAAATAAAAAAGAGACCAATCTTGAAAATCCCCTGAGCAGACAAAACCAGTTTAGTTATACAAGCAAAGCTTAATTTAGCTTATTTTCCAAAAACTAACTTGACTTAGGGTCATTTCTTGCTTATGTCTCTGGAAATCATAAGCAAACTTGAACTGTTTCCCCAAGGTTGATAAGAGGTAACCACTGACCAATTCCATGTCATTTAAGAAAAATCTAATGTAACCAAACACTGTGAAGAATAAACACTGCTTTCTCAGTAATTAAGCTGCTTTATGACAGTATACCCCTGAGCCTCATTCCATGTTTTGATTTGAGTGCTCCTGGTTTGGAAACTATCTTTTTGTGTACGCACAAAATTTTACTCATTACTACTTCGGTAATTCATTGGTTTTACTTCTGTTATTTATGAACTTTTGACATTTCATGGCATCAGAAATGGCATCCAAAGAAGACCCCCAATGACTCCAAGGCCGGTGAGCAACCAGGTGCTGGTACCCACAGAGCCCATTGAGCTAACTGCTTTCTCACCAACCCTGGAATTTGAGGATGTCTGTCTTGGATCCTAGCTCTGCTCTCTTTGC